GCAAAGTTTTACGATTATGCACCACATCTTTTAGATGCTCTTGTATTGGCTTTGACAGTTGTCGTTAAGTCATGGTTTCCTCACTTACTCTTCTTACCCACAATGGAGCCTATGCCACCGACCAGCATACTCCAACCTACTCTATCCTAGACCTTCCCTCCCAGGTGTACTCAGTTGCTGTTCATTCTTCCCATGTCTGCTTTCAGTCCTCGGCATAATATCTTCGAACTTTCTCCTTTCTTTTGGCCTTGAGGATTCCAAGTTAGGGATTCTCTTATGACGCAGCTGAGTGCTTTCCTGAGTGTTTTCCCTATTCACTTCCAGTGCTTTTCCCTACTTTCTTCCTACAGTACGTTGTTTCTGACGGCATTTGGCTAACAAACCTGCAGTATCTTACGTGGATAACTGTTAATAAACACCTGTATCTTGTGGATGATGGCTTTCGTAGTTCTACAACTTTCCGCCCTATACAGTAGAACTGTCTTAATATTTGTGTTGAGGATTCTGAATTTGGTGTTGGTTGACAGTTGCTTTTAGTTCCAGATTTTCATTAATTGTAGAAATGCTGCCCTTGGTTTGCCAATCCGAGCCATCATAGACATGCTCCTAGACATAACATTATCCTCGTCTGAATTTTCAGGAGTAGACCTTCTTCCAGGTGGCTCGCTTATTGACTTAGAATATGCCGATGACATTGTCCTACTTGGTGAAGACGCTGACAAAATGCAGAGTCTTCTGACTACCCTAAGCAACAATGCAAGCATGTTCGGGATGCGGTTTTCCCCCTCGAAATGCAAAATGTTGCTTCAAGACTGGGTTGCATCGGCACCTGAACTAGTGATAGGGAGTGAAGTAGTCGAGCGTGTAGATCACTTCACTTATCTGGGGAGTCTCATCAGTGCTGACGGTCTGGTGACTGACGAAATCTCAGCTCGGATACAGAAAGCTCGATTGACTTTTGCCAACCTGCGTCACTTATGGCGTAGGCGAGATATCCGTTTGCTGACTAAAGGACGAGTGTACTGCGCAGTAGTTCGCTCCGTCTTACTTTATGGCTGTGAAACATGGCCAGTGAGAGTAGAAGATATTCGTAGGTTACTGGTTTTCGATCATAGGTGTCTTCGAAGCATTGCTCGTATATCGTGGGACACCCGAGTGAGCAACGCTGTTATTAGGAATCGGGTGCTAGGTAAGAATGGCAGATCAATCGATGAAGTGGTGAAACTTCATCAGTTGAGGTGGTTGGGACATGTGTTGCGTATGCCCAACCACCGACTGCCTCGAAGAGCTTTGTTTTGTAGTGTAGGAGTAGGTTGGAAGAAAGTTAGGGGCGGCCAAACCAAAACATGGCAGAAATCCATGAAGTCATTGACTAGTGGACTGAGCCATGTCGGTAATTGTCGACTACCTGGTTGGGGTCCGCGAGATGATAATAGTCGATGGTTAGAGACCTTGAATGACATGGCTCAAAATCGTTCGCAATGGCGCCAGTGCATTTATTCTCTGTGTTCTCTCAAATGCTAATCTTCTGGATTCTTCAACACCTCTAGTTTCGACTCTCTAAACTTTTCTCACTGAATCATACTTCTTGAGTAGTATCTTCTAATCCTAACCTCTCCGATTATTTCTAATTCCCTTACTACCTCTTCTACTATTGGATTTGAATTGACGATTACTTCTCTGTGCTGATGTGGTATGGCAACATGAACTGATGTACTCACGTACAAAGTTCTACGTTGCATCTGACTGACTGACTGACTGACAATCCGAGCCATCACATATGCATCAAATCCACCTTGCTCATCAATGATGCTACCTCGACAAGCAAAGGTTTCTACATCCTCCAAAGTATCTCCGTCAAGTGCGATTTGGTTGGTGCATGTTGTGTTGTATCGAAGGATCTAGCTTTTTCCTTTATTTGTGGTGAAACCTACTAGTGCAGAGGCTGCTACTAAACGGCTATCCTAATCTTCATTTGTTGTTGCGTGTGGAACAGAAGAGCTAGATCGTTCAGCTGTATCCGAGCTTTTGACAGTATCCCGTGCTTCCCCCAGATGTTGACGTCTCCATAATCCAGTCCAGTGTCATCCTGTTCACGCTGTTGAATGCTTCCTCATATTCACTGAAATTGATTGTTCCCCAATGATCGGTAGTGTAGCGATTTGGTTGGTATGTGATCGATCCTTATGGAATCCAGGCTGCTAATCTCAAAGTTGGATGTCTATTGAGTCCTTCATTCGGTTTTACAACATTCTGTTGAAGACTTTTCCTGGCATTGATAGAAGAGTAGTTCCTCCGTAGTTCTCACACTTGCTTATATCTCCTTTCTTTGGTATATTGATAAGGTGTCATTCTTTTCAGTCTGTTGGTACTTGTTCTTCATCCCAAATCTTGCTGAACAGAGCGTGCAACATGTTTGCAGTCCTTGTTATGCCTGCTTTCAAAACGTCGGCTGGGATGTTGTCTGGTCCTGCTGCTTTGATACTTGATATGTCTGATGGCCATGTTGATCTCTTCAATTGTTGGTGGGCAAACATTGATTGGGAAGTCTGTGGGTGCTGCTCGGATACTGAAAGCTCGATTGGTTTTTGCCAACCTGCGTCACCTATGGCGCAGGCGAGATATCCGCTTGCTAACCAAAGGATGAGTGTACCGTGCAGCAGTTCGCTCCGTCCTACTATATGGCTGTGAAACACGGCCGTTAAGAGTAGAGGACTTTCGTAAGTTACTAGTCTTCGACCATCGTTGTCTCCGAAGCATTACTCATGTATCCTGGGACAACCGTATAAGCAATGCTATCGTTAGGAAACGAGTTCTAGGTAGGGATGGCAAATCAATAGATGAAGTAGTGAAACGTCATCAGTGGAGGTGGTTGGGACATGTGTTACGTATGGCTAACCACCGACTGCCTCGACGAGCTATGTTTTGTGGTGTAGGAGTAGATTGGAAGAAAGTTAGGGGCGGCCAGACCAAAACATGACAGAAATCCATGAAGTCGCTGACAAGTGGACTGAGCCATGTTGGTAGATTTAGGCTACCTGGTTGAGGTCCGGGAGACGAAAGTCACCAATCGTTAGAGACCTTGAATGACACGGCTCGGAATCGTTTGCGGTCGCGGAGTTGCATCCACTTTTTGTCTTCTCTCTAATTCTAACCTTCTGAATTTCTCATCACCTCTGTCTTTATCTTTCTAAATTTATCTTACTGAATTATACTTATCGAATCATATCTTCGAACTATAATCTTCTTCATTACTGCTAATACTTCTACTGTCGCTATCACTCTTGGATTTGAAGTGACAGTTGCGTCTCTGTGCTGATGTGGTATGGCAACCTGAAATGATGTACTTACGTACGAAGTTCTGTGTTGTATCTGTCTGTCTGTCTGCTGCTTAGATATTAGGTAGGTTCAGTGAGTTTGGTCTATTCTAAAGTTCTGCAAAATACTTTACTCACCATTTCTCTATTAAATGTCGGTGTTCGGCTTGCCTTCCTCGCTTTTAACTGGTCGTTTTGGTTTGCTACATTTGTTAGGTCTACCACAGATTTGCGTTTGTTAGCTTTAGCGCTCCACCTCACTTGTTTACTTCTGTGTATTCAGCTTGTGCCATGGCTTCCTCTGCTCTTGTTCGGCTGATATTGACTGCTGCTTTCTTGTTGATCCTTTCTTGAATCTTATGCACAATAGCAACAGAGATCCACTCCTTGTTATAGTGCTGCTTCTTGTGACCCAGAACTTCATGACATGGTGAAGTCATTGCTTCTTTGATCCCCTTCCAATTGTCCCTCATGATGATTTCCCCTTCACTAATTGGGTCGTAAAAGGCTTGGAACTTATTGCTCAGAGCTATCTTGAATTCTTCGAGTTTACCAGTATCCCGAAGAAAGACCTAATTACAGCTTTGTTATGCTATTCGTTTAGCTGCTCAGTGCTTCTTTAGTTTCATTTCATCTTGGCCATCACTGAGTGGTGATTTGAAGCTGTCAGTTCCTCTCCCTGTTCTCACGTTCACCATGGTCCTTCTGAACAGCTTATTTATACAGATGTGATGGATTTGGTTCTCCGTCATGTGATCCGGTGAAACCTATCTATCTTTATATATGCGTTTGTGCGGAAATATGGTACCACCTATAACCATTTTGTTGAAGATACATGGATTTGCGAATCTTTCACCGTTTTTGTTTCTTTCTCACAGTTCATGTCGTCTCATTATATCTTCATATCCGGTGTTGACCATTCTCACCATGGCGTTTAGGTCTTGTATCAGAATGGTCAAGTCCTTTATTGGGCAGGTTGTTAGGTGCAAGCTACTTCTTTCCGTTCTTGCAAGTAGAGCTAGTGGTGCTGTCCTTCCAGTCCGTTGCGGATTGAATTTAGCAAAAGGATTTGTTCAATAACTCTTCGAATGGTTTTGAAATAACTTCCACAAGGGATGACAACATTGGGTGGTATATCTCATCACTGCTCAATGAATTATCAAGTTTTAGGCTACTAAACATTCGAAAACCTACATTCGCTAATGCTATAGTTGGTGACTTAGCAGTTTCGCTGTTTAAAGTGTTAATATACATATCCTCCGAGTAGACCTTAGCTATGTTATTCGATAAATTTCCAGACTTGGGTGCACCAACCATTGTCTCTAGATTCTCACTTCGTTCAGTTCAACTATTTAACTCACTTGTAATTCAATAAATGCTGGACGTTTTATTGCCGTTCCTTTAATTTTTAATCCTTGTATTAATTTTTTTCTCCATCTCTTTCTCATAGTTCAATAACTGTTTGTACTATTAGTATTCTTTCTTTAATTAGTCTCACATTTATTGCTGTTTTTTTTCAGATGGCTTGGTTTGCATTAGGGCTATGCTCAGAGACCTAGATTTATTTCGTGTATTTATTTAGCAAGTTGGCCCTTAAAAAAATTTCAGTCTTCGTATCTACACTGTTCATGGGAATAATTTTCAGCTACTCAGTTAACTATTGTTCAAGTAAATCGGCTACATATGCATTGTAAAATGTAAGAATAGCAGTCACAAAGACCATTAACCACTTTTTGTTTATTTAATTTTTATTGAAAACAAATAATAGTACAATTAGGCAACAAAATATATGTTCACCACACAATGAAAATGAAATTGTAAAGAAATAGAGGAATAACTGAGAATGACAAAAAATGGATAGGAACTAGTGTAAATGTGAAATGACAGTAATAATAGCGGGAGAAACAGTTCACTTAAGGAAAATACACTAAAAAAGAATCCTTTCATTTGAAGATGTTCCTCTTATGTGTAGAAAACAAAAACGCTGCAGCAGGACCACCACTTGCTTCTACTCTGAGACGTGTCTGATAATTTCTGAAGCAAATGAGTTGCATCATCTCTAGGACCCCAACCAGGGGGTGATAAAGGACCAACAGATACCAGTCCTGTACAGCTTTTTTTCATATCGCGACACCATGACATATACTGATCACCTATCCACTTTTCCCAACCAGTCCCAGCGTTGGCAAATAATGCTCTATATGGAATTCCCTGGGACAACACTCATAATACATGTCTTATTCACCAGTCGGTGTTTCAAGATGGTGAAACCAATTGAATTATCATTGCTGTGCGAAAACACACGTCAAAACTCTGCATTACTAATACAGTATTGCCACCGCATGTCAGCAGTCTTTCAGAGAAAACGGTGGTCGAACACAGAAAGCTTTCCAATATATTCAGCTTGGAGACCAGGCTTCAAAAGCTTAGAGCAAAACTGCTCTCACTGACGCATTGTAGACCCGACTTTTTATAGCCAGACCAACATCACAAAGAAGCCAAAGATGGCCCAGATTGGCATAAACCGCTGTGGGTCTCACTATACGTGAATTGATTTCAGCACTCATGTGACCACCACCAGCTATGTAGCTATTTAGATACATAGACTTTTCGAATACTTCTGTCTTCTCACTACCAAGAGTGAGTTGAGGTTCAAGGTCTTGCTAGTAGTGTAAAAGTACTTTTCGTAGGTGAAAAGTACATGCCATACCTATGAACACTGTCTATCAATTGATTAAGTTCGAATTGCATGGCTTAGGATTCATCGCACAGTAAGACCAAATCATCCTCATACTCAAGATCTAAAAGTCTTTCACCAGGTAACAAATTCACACCATCATTATCTACATCTATTGGAGCTGTTTTCAGAACGTCATCAGTGACGAAATCGAAGAAGAGTGAAGAGATTAAGCAATTTTGCCTAACCCCTTTGCTTGGATGAAACAATGGATTTAGGTGGTTGTATGACCCCACTCTGCCTAAGGTGTTTGTAACATAGGGCCTTTAGGATGCTAATAAAATCCACGGGCACACTCTCCAGCAGACAATTCCAAAGAACAGTCCCATCTGTCGAATCAAAAGCGGCCGTAATGTCAAGAAACAACTATTTTTGACCTGCAATTAGTATGACTGTGTTCGAATATTTGTTGGCGGGCGAATATATGATTGATACATCATCGACTAGAACAAAAACCAGTCTTCTCCTAGCAAGTCAGTCTTTCGGGTTTTGAATAATGTACGAAGTGACGGAAGCCAATAAATCGGACGAAGTCGGTAGTAGACTTATCCCTCGATAGCTGTTACATGGACCACGTTAACCCTTTTTAAAGATAGGGATACCTATCGACTCGTTCTACGATCTTGGGTCACTCTCTAATTGTTAAGTGGTTGTAAACAACTAAGTCTCATTCAAAAGTCGCTACCATCTTTAAAATGGGCTGGAAGTAAGTTATCTGGATTTGACGATTTGTTGTACTCTAAAAGTTGGAATTCTTCGCAGACTTCTTCCTCGTTAGGTGGTTTAGTCATCACCGGGAGTGGAGGACAGGACAGTCTGATCGATGTTCCTGAGGCAGCAGATCAGCTGAACTGTCCCTCGAGAAAATTCTTTCTACTTTCCGAGACGTCGATGGATGTTGATCATTAGTCATATTCACACTACAACAGGTCCTAGAACACACACACATCTCGGAGTCCGACAATAGTTGTCTTCATGGACCTTAAAGCGGCATTTGACTCTGTCGATCGTGGGGTTCTATGGCAGTGTGTGTCACTAAAAGGTGTACCAGAAAAGTACGTTAAGTTTACACAGGCTCTGTGCTCAAACACTACTGTTCGAGTCAGAGCATATGGCGAACTATCTTCAGAATTGATTACTTCAAGTGGTGTCAGTCAGGGCTATGCACTTTCTCCATTCTTGTTTAACTTTGTCATAGAATTGCTTTTAGAGATAACATTATCTTAGTCTAACTTTCCAGGAGTGGAATTTCTACCAGGAGATTGGGTTTTTGATTTAGAATATACCGTTGACGTAGTTCTACTTGGTGAAGACACTGACAAAATGCTGTCTTCTGACAACCTGGGCCATCAATGCAAGTATGTTCGGTATTCGATTCTTCCTGTCGAAACACAAAATTTCACTTGAGGATCGGGTTGCATCGAGATCCGGACTAGTAATAGGAAGTGAAGCAGTTGAGCGTGTTGACCGCTTCAGTTATCTGGGGAGTCTCATCAGTGATGATGGCCTGGTGACTGACAAAATCTGAGCGCGGATACAGAAGGCTCGATTGACTTTTGCCAACGTGCGTCATCTATGGCGTAGGCAAGATATCCGTTTGCTAACCTAAGGACGATTGTACTGCTCAGCAGTTCGCTCTATTCTTTGTGTTCTCCCAAATCCTAATCCTCTGGATCCTTCATCACCTTTATCTTTTTGTTTTTACGTTTATTTCACTAGATTATACTTCTCGAATAATCTCTTCGCATCCTAATCTCTCTGACTACTGCTAATACTTCTACCTCTATTACTATGGAATTCGCACAGTTGCGTCTCTGTGCTAATGTAGTATGGTAACTTGGACAGATATACGTACGTACGAAGTTCTACATTGTAACTGACTGACTGACTGTTATTTATTAGTGTACAGTCAGCTTCATAGATTGCTTCACTCACACCAGATGTTTTGCTGCTAGTGGCTCAAATGGGTTGAAAGAGTTTTTAGCACTTATCACATGCAGCTACCGCTCTCACCTCGTTAGCTTGCTCTGATCACTAGGCTTCCAATTCTTTGCGCAGACTGCATTATTTGATTACGTAAGTTTTTTTTATAATCAAGCTCTCAGTTACCCTGAGTGGAGGGACGTGCCTCGACGAGCTGTAATGAGCCTGTACAAACTCAGTGCTTATAAGTGGAACGCTTCATGAAACGAAAAACGACTTCACTTGCCATTTTCATGGCGTCATGCTATTGCAGTTAGCGCTCATCTATACTTTACGGTAAGTCGATAGAGAAAAAAGATCATGAGGAATTCAGAAGACTAGAACTTGAGATAAGACAAAGAATGGATGCACCTACACTATTGCAAGCGATTTTGGGCCATGTCATTCAAAGTCCCCAACCATTGGTTACTATTGTGTCTCAGACGAAGATGCCATAGGATCTCCGGATAAACGCACACGAAACAGGCTTTTCGAGGCGGCTGATGGAGAGCGAATGCGTGGTACGTTACTAGAGTCTTGAATAAGGGTCTCGGATAGACAACAAACGTCGATGTTTAGACTTTCTAATGGTATAGCTGACCCTATCTGTTGTCTCACATACATTAGCGTGAGAACGTTGAGGGAGACCAGCTTGAATGGCATACGTGGTTTCAGAAAGGCTATTTCAGAATTCGTATTCGGTGGTAACATTCTAATTTCGGTCGGTCACTGACCTGAGATCGTTTAGATAAAACAAGGTTTACACCACAGGCTAGCTGCTTTGTGACTTGAAGAGTAAGGAATCAAAGAAGTAACAAGTGATGCAATAAAAAGTGAAAACGAATACTAATAAATAGTTTTAAGTATGATTTGCGGGTATGAGAACCAAAGCGTGAATAATTTTCCTAGTTTTAATCATGTATGCAGCGTGTGTTGGCTATAATACTTCCCGGGTATCCAAACTGAAGCTGGTGGCCACTCCCCGAGCCTTTGATCTACAGATCTAACCCATAATGAATTGGAGCAACATCAGGAGATGCGGTCTAATAGAAACCAGTGACCTAGAATAAGTTCATATACTTTTCGGTCCTTCAAGATACTGGAGCGCATATACTTCATCGTGTTTTCCAATTTCCCTAAATGAATCTTCTGTACTTTCTGACCTGGTTAAAGTGCTGGATGTTCGCTCTCCTTCATTCCAATTTCGTAAGCATCATCTAAACCACGAAAAGGCACTGAGTAAAATCTTCCTAGAAGTTGCTATATACGCTTGGTCATATCATAGAATTCCGAACGAGAGATTAGAATTCCACTACTCTCGATTGTACCAGGGGATTTAGGGTCGTGCAAAGCGGATCCTTCTCACCCTCGGCCTCAAAAGAGCGTTTAAAAATGTATGCTCAAGTGACAACACTATGAAGTACGTTGATCAACTTACATATTCCTTGATAATTATAATTTATCTTGTAGGATGTGCGATGGTAGACTTCATCAATCTCACTACCCAAAATATGTTAACACTTAGTGAATGAAATTTGTTTGCACTATTTAGACCATATCTTGTCTTGCCCACTAAAATCAGACAGGCTTATAGTCTATAAAAAGTCGAAAGCAAGTTCATTTTTCACCTTTAGATTTAAAATTGTCTTGATATAGGTACATCAATAAAAATTAACTGGATCGTTAAATTTTTAATATAAATATTTCTATATTGTGTTAAATTTCATGTATTTTGTTACTAAGCGTACATAATTACTCCTGTTACGTACACTTAAGGTATTTAATTTTTGTAGGGCCATGTCAGCTGGTAGTCTTAACACAGTAACTCGACCTATCCCCAAACCATCTGATTTTAAATTTGGTAAAGAAATTGGACAAGGTACCTTCTCAACTGTTTACGTCGTGCAAGAAATTTCAACAAGTTCAGAATTCGCTATGAAAGTCGTTGATAAACAACGTGTTTGGCGTTACAAGGCCGTGGATTCTGTGCTGATGGAGAAGGAAGTACTCAAACGCACAAACCATATTTTCATTATTCGTCTACACTGCACATTCCAAGACTCTACTAGACTGTTTTATCTTCTTGAATATGCAAGATGTGGAGAACTATTATCATACCTTACTTATTTTACCTCATTGAGTGTTCACTGTACTCGCTTTTACGCTGCGGAAATTTTTACAGCCCTAGATTATTTGCATTCAATAAGTATAGTTCACCGAGACTTAAAGCCAGAAAATGTTTTATTAACAGACAAAATGCACATCAAGCTTGCCGATTTCGGTTCGGCTGTTATATTGAACTCTCCGAATATTAAAGCACCTAGTTTTACTGGAACCCCAGAATACGTTAGTCCTGAAATGCTTTCTCGTATTTCTAGACAAAACAATAGTTCTGCAGAAACTGAAATCTCTCAAGATCTTACTTACTTGATGGATTTTTGGGCATTTGGATGTATCATTTACCAATTGATTTCTGGGTCCCCTCCATTCCGGAAAAGTGGTCCTGTCCATGAGTATGAAACCTTTCAGAAAATTTTAAGTTTATCTTATACATTTGCTCCAAATTTCGATCCAGTCGCAAAAGATTTGGTGGAACAATTACTTGTAATCAGTCCCAATGAACGCCTTGGTAGTCCTACCCATGGTGGTTCCATATCTGTACGTCAACATATGTTTTTCTCTGGGATTAAATGGGACACATTACCGTATCAAGAACCACCTTTACTAGTTCCAAACTTGGAACCTATTGCTCCAGAAGGTTGGGACAATCTGCCAGTTGGTTTTAAAGAAGCAGAGAAATATCACTTATCACGTGAGCTCGAACTATCTGCTTCCCAAATAACTGAAGATGATCGTATTCGTTTATTAAGTGCACAAGCAAAACATAATCCTTTCAATTGCTTTGTTCGTGGTCGTTTAATTTTAAAACAAGGTATATTGTTTAAGCGTCGAGGTTTATTTGCAAGAAGGCGGATGTTTTTACTAACCGAAGGACCACATCTCTTTTACGTCGATGTTGAAAATATGACACTTAAAGGAGAAGTTGCATGGTCCAATTCGTTAGCTGTTGAATTGAGAAGTGTTAAATTATTTTTTATTCATGTTCCAAATAAAACATATTATTTAGAAGACCCTTCTGGTCATGCTGATGATTGGGTAAAACAAATCACATCCGTTAAAGCACGATATTTTAGTAATACTCAAACCTTAGGTTCAGATACTCCAAGTACTTCAACTCATTTAGGCTTATAATCTTGTAAAAATTTTTAGTTAAGTAGCTTATTTTTTTTTATTCAACTAGGAATAATGTCAAAGTGCAAAATATTGTTTCAAAAATCATTTGAAAATGTATATATTAATTTATTTGTTGATGTTATCGACTTTTCTCAGTTTTTGTACAAAGTCCAGAATTCATGTGTATATACATTTATATATAATTAGATAGTAATTTATCGGTTCTTCATTTTTTCCCTTCTTCAAATTGTTTGCTGTTTGTGTGATGATACTTTATTATTTGTATGAATTATATAAAAAGTTAATTGTCACTTGTGTTACGTTTACTAACTAAAGTTTTGTCTAACGCAATCGTGTCATTTAGTATACTGAATATTTAAACTTGATGATATTAAGAAAGAGTGCAATGTGCTAAAATGTTTATTATTAATTATCAAATGTTGTTAATCTGTGATGAAAAGAGGCCGTCATTTCGAATTGTTGTGAATTTGTTTTTGAGATTTGACAAATACCCCTTTTACAAGGATCATCTCTAACCTCTTAGAGATTTTCATTCAATACAACCTAATGATATGTAGTAGCGCTTAGGTGTAGTAAGCAAACTCGACCAATTACAAAATAATATCTTTTCACTGTACCATCACTATTATAATGTTTATATTATATTATTTATTCCACGCATACCAAATACTTTCACTTTCTTTTTTTCCATAAAGAAATCCAATATATGTATATGCATTTTATCTTCTTATTTTATATTATAAATTGTTCATATCTCTTTTCTTATCAACAAAATATTTCACAAACATATTGTCTGCCTTTCAAGTTCTTCATTTCATTATTTACAGTTATCACTCGGATAGGTTTAGGGCAATAATTAAAACGTGAATGTTGATGAAGTAAAATTGAAAACATTCACTGATTGTTCTTAAATTCAAGTGTTTAAAATATTGAATCACTGTTCTATGACAGACTAACTAAGATATGTTGTTGACTCAACTAATTTGAAATAACTTTCTCCATTAATCTTCCATAAACCATCTTCTTAGGATGCTGAAATGGTGCAGTTTTCTGCCCGATGAACAAGTAAAGCATCTTAAGTGATACTCTTTCCACGTTGAAAATTTTTATTTCAGGATTACTGTTTGTTGTATTAGGGAGCCCCAAAATATCTCTCAGACAAGTCTTTAGAGGCCCAGAAAAACCAGGAAATGTTTCATCTAATCAGCAGAAGCATCTAGAAAGTGCAGAATGGCATGCCAAGATTCCGATTGGATATATATCCATACAGCTTCTGCACTTAGTACTATTCTCGAACCTTCCAGAAGCCCAAGATCATGAGTAACTCTTTAAACACCCTTACTTTTCTGTATATAAACGAACCTCAGAGTAAAGCGTTCTTCTCGTACTTCGTGCCTTTCCTCTTATGTTCAAGCGGTAGTATAGATTTAGCCTGTTATTAGAGGTGGATAGGAATTAACATATCACATTTATTTTGCAGACTTTTCAAGCTAATACTCACTTAGAAGGAAGTAAAGAAATCGAACATATTCATCACTTGATCTCTTTTGTCATGCGCGTGGAAATGCTCTCTCTTATTAAATCGTTCGTGCCACAAACGAATTATCTACCCGTTTATTAAAAAAATGAATATGGATAGCAGCAATAGGGTCTGATGTTAATTTATAGCCATAAACCTTACATATATATATTCTCGAAACACTGCTAGTGCATGGTGATATTTTAGCATAAACTATGATCAGTCAGCTGCAACGTATAAGTTTTGGCATGTATGTACATCAGTTCAAGTTACCATACCACATTCGCACAGAGACGGAATTGTCAATTCAAATTCAATAGCGATAGTAGAAGTGTTAGCAGTAACGGAAATGATTAGGGTTCGGAGAATTCACTCAAGAAATATAATCCAGTAAAATAAATTTCAAAGGAGAGAAGAAAGGTCATGAGGAATTCAGATTAGAATTTGAAAAACGAAAAAGGATGGATGCATCTGCATATACTGTGGTAACGAATGATCAACTATTGAAATTTATGAAAACATCGTACCTTATGCAAATTTATCCTAATGTATTTTGGTGTTGAGTTATGTAACACATTCCATCCAACGTTATGTCAATTCTGATTAAGGAATTCTAAATATCTCTACATAGGATAGACTAGCAGTGCATATTGTAACCGATTACTACTGTCATTTTTTAGTCTCTGATAATCGTAAGAAATTCTCATTAGAAAATGATATTGTTTTATTGTATTCAATATTTATATGGAATATGTATATCTACCTTTTTTGTAGACTTTCTCTTGACCCATTAACTGTTGTTATACTATTCACTATCTCTAATTTTCCCCCAGTCTATTATCTGCAGCCTCACGTCGTTCACGTATACTAGTCGGGAGTGTAATTGACTAAATCAGTTACACTAGGCCGTAGGGCAGTTAGTGAACATGGAATGGACAATCATTATTCTAATTAGTGGTTTGTCACGCAATACGGTCAGCGGTCACAAGACAACAAAATATAAACGTGATCACAAATCATTTGCAAAGCCAATATACAAGTGCCTAATTTTACACTAAATGTTTCGTTCATAAAATTTTCATTATTCATTTCATCTTTTTAGTTCAGTTCTAAATAAAATAAATAACGAATTATCAAATTAAGCTAAAAGTTGGATACTAAACAACAGTTTGTATTTTGTTACATACATTTTTAAATAAATACATTAGATAAGTGTAAATGAACTTCTCCAAACTTTATTTTTACAGAAATACTTTCTAACAAGATAAATCGTAAAAACGTTTATTTTTTCTTCAGTGACGTGCTAACTATATTATGGTGATAATTATAGCTTCTCTTGTCTACTTCCATTCCGTTGATATTCTATGATACTTATCCATCCTATTATATAGGTACAGTGCTATTCAACCAATCTCTTGGTTTAAGCATTTAAAACCTGTTTCAAGTTCACCAGTATCAACAATCTAAATTCGGATACAAAAATATACACTGAGCAAGTAAAGTAGAGTAATTATTATGTCATATAAGTATTATCTGTAAAAAAGTTCCTCAGTTTGTTACATTTAAAGACATTAGAATACGCGGCTTATCATACTCTATCGTTAAAGTATTAAGAAAAAACACTAATTCTTAACTAAACACATTAAACTGATGTACTCCTTTTGGAACTGTTGTGACTTACATTTTCATGACCATAAAACCAGAAGCCTTTTCCTTTGTTTTTAATCCCAAGTATCTACATCAAGTTACAGTGGTTAAGAGGTTGGGCATTCAGTTCCTATCTGGTTAAGTTTGCACAACTGGGTAGTATCATCAGCTATCACATTGTGAATGTGACTCATTCCGGAATACCTGGTGAATAAGTTAATTTAATATAGATACTTGTTATTAAAATTAATATTTGACAGTGAAATCCTACTATCTAATCAGTTATTTAAAAATAAAGAACTATCGTATTCGTAACAATTAAATTCAACTGTGAGTTTTACTAATTTGTTTACCTTAATGTATTAATTGTTTCTTATATTCGTTTGTTTCCTAACGTTTACTTATTTGTTTCTCCTTTGATTTATACACTAGTTTGTCTGATTTTTTTCTCTCATCTTAAATTTTAGTCGTTAATTTATTGCCATCATTGTTATGTATGATTAAAATCAAATAGCAGCTCTAAATCTCAACATATGCAGTTCTTATTGAAATATTTCAGTGAAGTTTTCATGGGTCTTGATGTTACCCCATTAGAAAATGACCAACCAATTCGTGGTGGATTCTACAAAAGTTCACAAATATTTATACCACTTGCAGAATTTATGAATGTTCCATTAGATCAGATCAACTATGTTGTTAGTGGAGTGATTAGTTTTGGTCTGAGTCAATTAATGCGACGTTGGTTATCACCTCAAAAATGCTCTCCACGAATTCGTGCACTTTTTGAAACTTTATTTGGTTTATTGTTATTATCATTTTGTTTTGGTAATCAATTGCGTGTATTATTGATACAATCAAGCATTGCTTATCTATTCATGATATGTTTACCTAGTAATCATTTCATGGCTGTAATAGTGACAATTTGGTCGTTGTTTTATCTTACATTAGTACATCTTTGTCGATTGAAATATGATTACGGCGGATATACACTAGATATTTCTGGACCAGTAATGGTACAAACTCAACGTCTATCTAGTTTAGCATTTAATCTTGTCGATGGTGTATTAACACGTAAAATGTCCAGTCCAAATTATTGTAAATCACAACAACAGAAACAACAATCTAATTGTTCCGCCAATGAAATAATCAATCCTGATGAAACTGTGAAACAATTGCCCTCTTGCCGCAGACGGAACACATTCACCGCACTTGAAGAAACTATAAAAACACCAACAGCAATGATAATAACTTCAAAATTAGATTCAAACACCAACCATCATCCTGCGCCAAATCATTGTAACTCAACACAACATAATACTGCTATTGCATCAAACAATCATTCTGTCATGATGAATATGCCTACTAGTCATAAATTACATGCTGTTGAAAAAACTCCAGATCCAATTATATTTTTTGCTTATATGCTTTATTTCCATGGTGTACTTATTGGACCCTTCACATTTTTTTCCGAATATATGGATTATCTTAAAGGTTACACAAGTAGAGAATTGCCTCCAATCAATATGCGTTATCTAATCACCTTATTTCTACGTACAGTAGCTTCGGGTCTATCAGCTGCCTATTTGTGTCCTTATTTCCCGTTTGAATTTGTATTAACTGACGCATTTACAGTAAGTCCTGTTTACAGTTTGACCAATTAAAATACTTATTGGAATCATGAACTGATTTAAGTTAGACAAAGAGCAGACACTTAAAAGCACTGAATGGACATTAGGTGCATCCATTCTTTGTGTTCTCTCGAATTCTAATCTTCCTCATCACCTCTCTCTTTCTAAAGTTATCTCACTGATTTTTACTTCTTGAATAATATCTTCGGACCCTAATCTTCTACATTACCGCTCATTCTTCTACTATGTCTTCCACTATGGGATTTGAACTGACAGTTGCGTCTGTGTGCTAGTGTGGTGTGGTAACTTTGACAGGTGTACGTACGTACGAAGTTGTACGTTGTAACTGACTGACTGAATAGACATTTGTCCTAATGTGGAACTGCTCCCATGGTCCCGCAACCGGTAATGGGGCCCAGAGCCTTCAGTCTTTTGACCAAACTCTAGACCTCACTGACCTGATGACATCTCATTTTGGCTAATGATCACATCACAACCTTAAAAACATTTCGATTGATGTTTGAGGAGCTTCCTTCGAAAGATAAACTACTGTATCTAGCATAAACCTTATTGTCTTCATTCTAGTGACTATAGATGTATTGAGTAGTTAAACATCATCTATTATACATTGTATGCTCATTCCGGAGCACTTGTTTAGACGCAGACCATGCTCTAGTGCGAGCGCGTATTTGTTTGAGGCTTACCAGATATAGGGAAGACACCTCGAAGAAACCTCTTAGGGTTTTACTTAATGATAACAAACCTCAATATATTTCAGGAACAATTAGAAAAACAGTTAGGCAGCCATATAATAAGTAATGCCCGTCGCGAGACAGTTTGGAGTGACATCAAAAAGCTGTGGAAACAGCAGTGATATCTGCTAGTAAGGTAAACCACAAGGTTGGGGAGAAGCGGTGGGTTTCAGTAGTATCTACCAAACTGATGGATGCTCGAAAACTCATCCCGTCTGGTCCTAAGTACGATGAGGAGCGGAGTCAGCTTAGGCGCAGGCTGATAAAAAACCTACGCAATGATCGCGAACAGTGGTGGGTGGTGAAAGCGAGAGAGATGGAAAAGGCAGCGGCAATTGTCAACGGCAGACAACATTTCCGCCTTATCAAGGAAACCGGTGTTAGAAATCCATCTGTTAGCGAAACTACCTCAGAAAGGAATGGGCTTATAATTCAACCCAGGAGATTGGATCGATGGGCGGAAAACTTCAGGGATCAGTTCAATTAGCCTCCACCCACACTTTCGTTGCTCACGATCTCCAGTCATCCTGAATGACAAATCGACGTAAGTTGTCCGACTCTTTGTGAAGTTGAGAAAGCTATAGGAAATCCGAAAAGAGGGAGGGCAGGGGGTCCTGATAGACTGACTCCTGAGATTTTTAAGGATGTTGGTCCAGTTTTAGCAGCTAGGTTGACTGCGATCTTAGGTAGAATCTGAGAACTGGACGTAATCCCATGTGACTGGTCTCAATCCCCGATTGACCCAATTTACAAGAAAGGACAAAAGTCATTGTGTGACAATCACAGAGGAATCAGTTTAAATAACATAGCGTCCAAATTATTAGCCTCGATAATACCTAGACACTTAACTAGAACTTGTGAAGAGCAGACTAGAGTTAACCATGCTGGTGTACGACCTGAACGTGGCTGTATGGACCACGTTTTTACACTACGACAGGTCCTGCAACACAGACGCACATGTTGGCCTCCTACAACAGTTGTGTTCCTGGACCGTAAGGCGATATTTGACTCTGTCGATCGTGGGGTTCTATGGCAGTGTGTGTCACTAAAAGGTGTACCAGAAAAGTACGTTAAGTTTACACAGGCTCTGTGCTCAAACACTACTGTTCGAGTCAGAGCATATGGCGAACTATCTTCAGAATTGATTACTTCAAGTGGTGTCAGTCAGGGCTATGCACTTTCTCCATTCTTGTTTAACTAATAGGAAGTGAAGCAGTTGAGCGTGTTGACCGCTTCAGTTATCTGGGGAGTCTCATCAGTGATGATGGCCTGGTGACTGACAAAATCTGAGCGCGGATACAGAAGGCTCGATTGACTTTTGCCAACGTGCGTCATCTATGGCGTAGGCAAGATATCCGTTTGCTAACCTAAGGACGATTGTACTGCTCAGCAGTTCTCTCCGTCCTATTTTAGGGCTTTGAAACATGGCTAGTTAGAGTAGAAGAAATAGGTAGGTTACTGATTTTCGATCATAAATGTCTCCGAAGCATCGCTCGTTTATTTTGGGACTATCGAGTAAGCACTGGTGTTGTTAGGAAACGGTACTAGGTAAGGTTGGCAGATCAATAGAGGTGGTTGGGACATTTGTTACAAATGCCTAACCATCGACTACCTCTTGGAGCTATGTTTTTGGAGTAGGATTGGGTTGGGAGAAAGCTAGGGGCGGCCAAACCAAAACATGGCACAAATCCATGAAGTCACTGACAAGTGGATTGCGTCATGTTGGTAGACGTAGACTACCTGGTCGGGGTCCGCGAGACCATAGTTATCGATAGTTAGAGATCTTGAATGACATGGCTCAGTACCCATTTCAATGGCACATGTGTGTGTGTGCTTTCAAATCCTAATCTTCTGAATTTCTCATGACTTGTTTTAAAATTTTTCAATCGATTCCTCTGGGTTGATATATTCTATCTTTAATCTTTTCGATTACTGCTAATACGTGTGCTACCGTTGAATATTTATGTGAAAATGTTAAACAAATCAAGGTAATTTGGGTCATTATTCACAGTTAAATAGTTTACGTAACTACACGTAATGGGCAAAAGTACAAGTTGATGGGAGGAATACAGGCATACTGATATAGCAGTAAGAATAATAAATATTTTATTATTCTTACGTAATCTATTTCATTGTGATAATTGACACAAATTGACTTGTATTATATGTTTGGTAAGTCCAAAAACGATTTTTTCTGAGAGTTAATTCTATTTAGGAACTCAATAGTAATGTGAAATGTCCTAAGCCTTTTTCGTAATAGAATATTTTAGCTGGACTTTTATAAGATAATAAATCTGCCAATGATTTCTCTATATGCTGCAAAATCACCGATTACTTTTGTTGTTCAGGTTGAATTAGTGCCGTTGGTCTAGTGGTTGTTAAAGCATTCAACTTTCAGCCATTAAATCTCTGGTTTAAACTTCGATCTACCTATTTCCGTCTAGGAACTTAAGCAGTATCACTGACCGTCATACTTAAAATGTGTCTCTTTTACCCGGGGACTTCACGGATTATTTATTTTAATTCGAGATTGAAACAATGATTTCATGGATTCTTCATGTCTTACCCTCTACCTGTTATGTTATGTAACTTGGTAGTTAGTCAATAGTAATGAGGTCTACGAGACCATAGCAACTGATAGCTGGATACCTAGAATGACATGGCCCCAAATCGTTTGTAATGGCGCAGATGCATCCATTCATTGTCTTCTATAAAGTTCTAATCTTTTGAATTCCTTATGAACTTTTCTTTTCTTTTCTAAACTTATTTCACTGGACTATACTTTTCGAATCATATGTTCGATCTCTAATCTTCTCCATTACTACTAACACTGCTACTACCTCTATCACTGTGGGATTTGTTTTGACAATTCTATCTGTGCTAACGTGTTATGGCAACTTGAACTGATTTACGTACGTACTGAAGTTTCATGTTGTAAATGAATGACTGACTGACTGAAGCCAATAGTAAAGTCCATTTACCATCTAATCTCCTAAGCTCGCAAGCACATTTTTGTTCGTATTAATAATACTATTTTACTGTCAAACAATCAACTGTCATCGAATTTGGATCATTATTTCATTTATAATTTCATCAGAATTCATCATGTAGAAATGTTCTGCACTCAATCAATTGATCATTCTAACATTTAAGATATGCTTATAGTGAAACAACTAGAAAAAAATCCTTTCATCCTTTCAGGTTTTGCTAGATTTAGATAGAGTTGTTGTATGATTCATTTACATGAATGCACTCTGTTATGTTAATTTTGCGCTATTTCCAAATATTTTACATGAATGAAATAATCTTTTGTTTTCTTCCGACTGAATGATTCACGAAATTATCTGTTCAGTATGTGTGTATGGCTTCATAATGAACTGGATTAAATGTACACTAAGCTTGACAATTTATATCCTAGGCTTCATTGTTAACTATTAGTGATCTTCAAGTTGATAGTGTACTTATGTAAACTAACTACCTTTAGTATATATTGAGTATTTCTTAATGTTCCTGTATTAAATGTGTATAGTTGTATAACTTCTCCACTGTATTAAACTAACTAATATTTAATACACTGTAGTCATGATTGTACAGTTATGATTATGTTTTATACTTTATATCATTGTCAAAAAAAAAATTAGAGTTTTAAAAATGATTTTTTTTTGAAAAACTTATTTATAATCACTTACTCATACATGTATTTGCTTTTTTATTTTTAGAATTATTCTATGTTACATCGTATTCTATACGTAACTATTTCTCTATTCTTAATACGACAAAAATATTACTTTGCATGGGGTTTAACTGAAGTCAACGGAGTAGCTATCGGTGCCGGTTATACTGGTCAGTGTCCACGTACTGGTGCTACATTAAATCATAATATTCGTAATTTCGATTTTATAAAAGTTGAAACTGGTATTAGTTTAAAAGATGTGATTGATGCATGGAATATTTCGACCACACGATGGTTACGTGAAACATTTTATGATCGTCTTCCATTGGCCTATCGTACAATTCTTGTCTTTATTATCAGTGCTTTTTGGCATGGTTTTTATCCGGGCTATTATATTATGTTTTTATCATTTGCTTTATTCACTATGACCGCACGTATATGGCGTCGTCATTGTCGTCAATATTTTCGTAGAACTCATCTATCTAGTCAACTCTATGATATATTCACTATGATTATTACTAATTTTATAGTGAATTATGGTCAAGCACCATTTCATGTATTAGATTTCTATGCATCGTTGAAATTTTTACATGTATTCTATTTTATGCCACATCTAATTGCTTCCAGTATTTTGTTTATATATTTTTCCAAAGTCTACATTATGAAATTAGCCATAAAATATCAGGTTCATATTAAAAAGTTTGAATATCATAACAACAACAACAACATTGATGATAAATGTCAAAAATTATCAATTTCTTCAAACCATGATCGTAGTATTGGTGGACATTAGTTATTGGGCGATGACGACCACCAATCCTCATACTCATCATCATCATCATCAACTAACACTTGCTTGCTTATGATCTCTCTCTCTCTCCATTTCTTTCGTTCTATTCATTCATCTATTTGTATACCTATATATATATATATATATATATATATATATATATATATATATATATATATATACTTACATATTATATCTAGTGTTGCATTCATCTTCTTTCACTCTCTCTCTCTCTCTCTTTCTATCCTTCCCACCATCGAAACCGTTTTATTCACTGTTTGTTTTTAAATTAGTATTCTTCAAATCATTATTCTCAGTTCTATTTTGAATATGTTTTGTGAGTTCCATGTTTTGTTGATTGAGTTGTTTTCTTAAAAAAAGAAACAGAACAAGCTGCTAAAAACTAATTACTGTTTCAATAATTTACTTGATTATAGCAATGTTAATGCTGTTTGTGTATATACATAAATAGATTATTGGTATCTGTAACATTTATTTTGAAATCGGTTTTTTTATTATCCGATAATCTAGTTAGTTGAAAGTTCCATAGTGACAGTAATACTAATATTGCTAGTGTTGCGTATGCCTAACCACCGACTGCCTCGACGAGCTATGTTTTGTGGTGTAGGAGTAGATTGGAAGAAAGCTCCGGGCGTCCAGACCAAAACATGGCAGAAATGCATGAAGTCACTGACAAGTGGACTGAGCCATGTTGGTAGATTTAGACTACCTGGTTGAGGTCCGCGAGACGAAAGTCACCAATGGTTAGAGACCTTGAATGACACGGCTCAAGACCGTTTGCAATGGCGCTGGTGCATTTATTCTTTGTGTTCTCTGAAATCCTAAACTTTTTAATTCCTCATCACTTTATTTTTTCTTTTTAGGTCTATTTTACTAGATTCTACTTCGTGAATAATATCTTCGAACCCTAATCTCTCCGATTACTGCTAATACCTTTACCACCACATACTACTACCTTGGGATTTGAATTAACAATCACATCTCTGTGGTAATGTGCTATGGCAACTTGAACTGATATACGTACGTACTTAGTTGTACGTTGTTATTGACTGATTCTTTAATATTGCTAGTAAGTGATAGATACACATAACAATGAGTTGAAGATTTATTTGTTCGAATAAAAAAAGACAAGCAGCAAATTCCACCGCACTAACGTGACTGATACTAAACGTTGTTACGAAACATCCTCAACCCATTGAAAATTAATTGGGAATTACATAAAGTCGATAAAAAATGTTCCCATTACTAAATATAATACAATAGTCATTCAGAAAACGTTTGAATGCTTACTTACGCCAGTTATCGCTAGTGGAGCATAATCTGCCAAACAGCATTCTCCAACCTATTCTGTCCTGGGCCTTTCTTTCTAGTTCTATCCAATTGTTCTTCATTCTTTTCGTTTCTGTTTCCGTCTCTTGGCGTAATGTGTTCTTTGGTATTCCTCTTTTCCTTCGGCCTTGAGGATCTCAAGTTAGGGCCTGTCCTGTTACTCAGTTGGGTGCTTTCCTTAGCGTGAGTCCTATCCACTTTCAGCGCTTCTTCCTGATTTCTTCCAACCTTTGAATATGCTTACTCGTTATTCATATTTACGTAAGATTATTCAATAAATTTATACAGTACAATGTTTAATAGTTATATTCGTGTCAGCCAGAATACCATTGGAAACAAACTGACATTAGACAGTTGTTTCATCCTTATATAGGACTCCTTACCATTGTTTAGCATCCAAATGAACCCACTAGTAATGAAACTTAGGGTTTACAGGTCTTGTAGTGCAGTTTGAGAATAACTGTATTTGATGTTATACTAGAGATGAATTAATGAGTACAATCAATGCGGGTTAGAAAGTAAAATAAAACTTGTTAAAATAAAATAATATGGTAAACTATTTTTTAATGGTGATATTCTTTTAGCTTGTGATTTAATACGTTAGCTTTATGTAGAACACTGTAAAACAATACAAATGATTGTCTTCACATGATAACTTGTAACCAATATAGTTTTGCACATTGCTCATTCCTCTACGATTCAAAAGCTAATATACATTGTTGGTTTAGTGTCCATGTTTTATTACTCCCTTAACGAAACTGTCTGTGCACTTTTCAGTTTACAGGCTACCATATATTTCTTGTATGCCACTTTAAAACTCCGTCTAGAGCCCCTTCGGGGCTACTGTCGGTCCCAAACTCGGGTAAAGGAGGAGGGTTGGACGTGGGTTTATCGACCCATCCAGTGTAAAACTAACTCCATTTATTGTCCTAACTAGAGTCATGTCATCTTACTGGTTAGTCTTAAATATATTTACAGAAGTATCAGTAATTGAAGGATTACTGGTCTTACTGTTAATAATAACTTGAATCACAAGCCAGGTATTTGTTTCAAGTTTTCTGATTCACTGAAACATACAGTTCAAATGAACAAATCTAACAGTAGTAGTATGTGAAGATAATTTTTTAAATAGACTAACATTGCTCAAACAATACCCTTTTATCAATATCAGACAAATATGTTAACTAATTAAAAAAGATGTTAACTTCAGTTAGATTTGAAATAATAAAAAGTTAATCTTGTGATATCGTAGGATTGTTAACGAACACCAGTAACAATAGACGAGACGAATGTCAAGTCCTTCTTAGTATTAGTTGAATCTTGTCAGTCATGTCACAATGCTATCACTAGTCTCACTTGTGCGACAAAGTGTACTCGAGATATGAAATGGCTACATGATAACTTGATGAATATAATTCGATCAGCACTAAGGAGTATTTGGGCATGCTTGAAATTAGTTATCACTCCATGATCAATTAGTCTTTATTAATTAAAATCTATATTTTAACAGATGAATATTTGAAAATAGAGTTAGCTGGTAAAGTAAGAAAAAAAAGTTTATTATAAAAGAATTATATTATGAAAATATGCGGACCATCATCATTGACCGAGCGATATAATAAGTGATTCAATCTTTTCATATAAGGCCATAGTGTATAAATTATCAATAATCAATCAGAGTATGAATCACAGACATGTAAAAGCACATGCAATTTCATTCAACAAAGTCTTATATTGATGCAGTAGTACATTGCAAGGTCAAAAATACTTAATGAACTTCAAATTTTCTCATACAATAAATTCAGTTGGACGTGACATTTATATCTTAATTACTAGTTTATAAGATGTCCAGTCAATAGAATGAAACAATAAAACTCTATCAGACAAATAGTTTTTGTATTACCCTAGTTTCTAGACTCTACCGTTGAATCGGATACTCGAACGACCCACTATACAGAGACTAGATCACGTCAAACGAGATACATGATTCACAACCAAAACAGAGAACCGGAGTAAACAGTCGACATTATTTTATTCCATACACAAGCAGTCGAAATCAGTGAGTCCAGAGTAGACATCAACAATCAGTCAGTCAAATGCAACATAGAACTTCGTACGTAAGTACATCAGTTCCTGTTGCCATACCACATCAGCACAGAGATGTAATTGTCAATTCAAATCCAATAGCAGTAGAGGTAGTAAAGGTATTAGAAGTAATCGGAGAGGTTAGGATTAGAAGATATTATTCAAGAAGTATGATTCAATGAGAAAAGTTTAGAAAGTCAAAACTAGAGTTTTTGAAGATTCCAGAAGATTAGGATTTGAGAGAACACAAAGCATAAATGCACCTGAGCCATTTCAAACGGTTTTGAGCCATGTCATTCAGGGTCTCTAACCATCGATTATTATCATCTCGCGGACCCCAACCAGGTAGTCGCCAACTACCGACATAGCTCAGTCCACTTGTCAGCGACTTCATGGATTTCTGCCATGTTTTGGTCTGGACGCCCCTAACTTTCTTCCAATCTACTCCTACACCACAAAACATAGCTCTTCGCGGCAATCGGTGGTTAGCCATAAGTAGCATATGTCCCAACCACCTCCACTGATGAAGTTTCACTACTTCATCTATTGATTTGCCATCCCTACCAAGAACTCGTTTCCTAACGACAGCATTTCTTATACGGTTGTCCCATGATACACGAGCAATGCTTTGGAGACATCGATGATCGAAGACTAGTAACCTATGAATGTCCTCTACTCTTAACGGCCAAGTCTCGCATCCGTACAGTAGGACGGAGCGAACTGCTGCACAGTACACTCGTCCTCTGGTTAGCAAACGAATATCTCGCCTACGCCATAAGTGACGCAGGTTGGCAAAAGCCAATCGAGCTTTCTGTATCCGAGCTGAGATTTCGTCAGTCACCAGGCCATCAGCACTGATGAGACTGCCAAGATCAGTGAATCGGTCTACACGCACAACTACTTCACTCCCTATCTCCAGTTCAGGTGTTGATGCAACCCAATCTTGAAGCAACATTTCGAGGGTGAGAACCGCATCCCGAACATGCTTGTATTGTTGCTTAGGGTGGTGAGAAGACTCTGCATTTTGTCAGCGTCTTCACCAAGTAGGACAATGTCATCGACATATTCTAAGTCGATAAGCGATCCTCTTGTTAAAAGGTCTACTCCTGAAAATTCAGACGAGGATAAGGTTGTATCTAGGAGCATGTCTATGATAAAATTAAACAAGAATGGAGAGAGTGGACATCACTGACGGACACCACTTGAAGTAAAGAATTCCGTTGACAGTTCGCCATAAGCTCTCACTCGACCAGTGGTGTTCGAGTAGAGAGCTTGTATAAGGTTAATGTGCACCTTTCAATGACAGACACTGCCACAGAACCTCACGATCCACGGAGTCGAATACCGCTTTTAGGTCCAGGAAGACAACTATATTCGGACGCCTAAATGTGTGTCTATGTTCCAAGACCTGTCTTAGTGCGAAGATGTGGTCTATACAACCACGTCCAGGTCGAAAACCAGCCTGGTTTTCTCGAGTCTGCTCTTCACGATCTTTCGTTAAACGTCGAATGATTATTGAGGCCAATATTTTAGATACTATATTAGTTAGACTGATTCCCCTGTGATTG